TTCTATATAAATGTACGAAAAATAGAATAAAACTTATTTCTTTTTTCTGACAAACAGTTACAAACGTTTTGTTTACCACATGTCTAATGAATTGTAGCCTAATCTTTAAGAGAAAAATAACAAACTTAAAACTAGATTACAATTGTGCTACGCACAAATTGCGATATCAACAGACTCCCAAAATTCTGTACAGAAAAAATTAGAGAATTTCTTGACAAACTGTTTTCGGTAAAATCTCATAGAAAGGACAGAGAATAATATTGAAAAATGATTGTCACTCTCAAGCTTAAAACGTAACAATTTTTTTTTTCTTCATAACAAATGGCGTCGGACAACAAAGATATGACAATTTTCTAAGTTTTTGACATATTTTCTCCTTCTGGACCTTATGACTCTGCATCCAAGTCATTTTTAAAAAAACGAACATTCAATTTGTCAATCCATAGCATCTAGAAAACGTTCTTCCGTTTTAAATCTTTTATACGTTGCGTAATTCTCTAGATCGTGTGGTGAACATTTCACAAAAAAAATGGCTGTCTCTACTAACAGCTGCCAAAAGTTACCAATTCAGTCAGTAGATTTCTACTGCACCACTTTCACTATTATTTCTATTTCAGCTACTTTAAAAGAGATGATTAGAGAGAATAATAGAACAGAGAACGAAATATGAAGAATAGAGAAAGAGAAATGAAAGAGAATTATTTTTCTTCTTAAGAACAAATGGTGCCAGATAACTGATGCTAATGAACGTTAAAAAACTTTCGAGTCCAAAACACATTTTTCTTTCATTTCTGTAGTTTATGGCGCCGAATCTGGACTTATGTTTGAGAAAAGAACGTGCAGTTGTCAATCTACAGTATCCAGAGACTATCCTCCCATTTTCAGAAGTTTGCTACGTAGCGTAGTTCATTAGATCACATCATGCACACAAAAAGTAACTAAACAAGAAAAACAAAAAACTCCCAGCAAAAACACATAATGTCTGTCGACATAAAAATGTTTGCTTGTAAACATTTGATTTGGGTTATATAAGGAAACAGTTTGAATATCGTATACCGAAAGTACAATTGTGGGAAGAAAAGGAGACGAACTTCTCAAACCAACTCACGTCGATTGATCATAAAAATTAATGAAATACAGAATAAATTCTCTATGTTTACATGTGGATAGATACTAATATCCGAATCTCTACTGTTTTAATCCCGTCTGATTAGGTTATCGTATCTGTCAGAAAAAACCCTCAAAACGAAAGAAATAGAAAAATGTTAATCTTTTTATTGGCTCTTCTATGATTCGACAGTTTGAATCGAAAAAAAACCAAGGCGTTTCAAATCAACAAAAAGCTAATATTAATTTTTATTTTGCCGACAACACGTTGGTGAGTGTTCTATAGATGATAAAATAGAAAAATGTATTTATTGTGTCCAATGATTATTTATTTATTAACTGTATAAGAAAGTACACATACATGAGATAATATTGTTGAAAACAACAATACGTATGTTATATTAATGTTTCCTAAATTGATACCAAAAAATGAATTAAAAAAGACAGAGAATAAACATAAAATGCCCAAAATGTATAGAAAAATGAGAAAGAAAATTCGCAACGAAAAGGCATATATTTCTATTTGCAAAAAAAATTAAATGACAAATAAAAAATTGCGTAGAAGAAGAAAAAAAGTTGAAATGGTAACAATTATTTTTATTTTTTATGCAAAAAAGCAGTTGTATATGTACAAAAGTACATAAGGAGAAAAATCTGACAAAAAATATTTTTTTTAGGTTGGTCTACCTGTCGTGTATCTATCTGACAGTGTAAAAGAAAAAAGTGTCGTTGGTCAATAAACAAATAAAAAGGAGAGAGATTTCATTCAGATTTAGACATGATAAAAAAGTTGAGAATCAAGGCTTTGGACAACTCTAAACGACAAAATAGTTGATTAAACATTTGTATATAAAACGGAATATCCGCTCTTACTTGATCACGTAATATTTCCCATTCATTATAAGCTCGTTGATAATTTTCGAATTCTTTACACCAATCATTGTATTTTTCAATATATTTTTCCGCAGTTATACATGTACAATCACCTAGAGATAAATAAATTATTACATGAAAACATGAACATTGAAGTCTCATAGTTTGAATACATACGTTTTGATAAGGTGGTACTGAGTGAATTGCTAGTTGAACCATATGCAAACAAATTTGGGGAATCTAAATGGTAAAAAAATGGAAGAATGACAACTAATAAAACTTAAGTCAGTTAATTACCTCGATCAGTGTCTAATGTATAGGATACAATTGGTTGATTAAACACAAAACATGTATATTGTCCATTTAATGATGTATTCATACCAGCTATGATCAAATCTGAAAAAGAACTTCAGGATAAACTAGTTTATTCAAAAAAAATATATTCTTTACTTTGTTCTTTTGTTAGAAGATAATTAGTATACATTGATTCTTGAATATTTTGTCCATTCCAACGCCATTCAATATTTGAATGTAGATGTTCATTAACATCACATTGAAGCCAAACAGTTTCACCTATTTTACGTGTTAATTGAAACACTTTTGCTAGTAGAAGAGAAAATAAATAGATAAAGACAAATGTAGATCGATTTCAGTTGTGTTCTCTTACCCGGACGTTGAACAGATTTCTTACACCATAATTCAAGCGAATGACGAGCAGCAGATTTTGGACTAAATGCAAGTAAAAATAAAAGAATAATAAGAGTGAGTTATTACAACATACTAGTTTTACCCGTCATCTGATTCGGCACAACGACTATGTTGTACATCGTAATGACATAATGGATCACGTTCACATTCTACACACAGAGTATAACGGTTACATTGGGCAACGGGTAATTGATAAACACCAGCATCTGTCGATACATACAACTGTTTAGTATCCTACAATAATAACAGTTGAATATTAGTCGAAAAAGATAAATTTCTTATTATGCTTGCTTCTGCAATAATCATATTTCTTATTGGTATTTTTTTATCTTCAATTATCCATGTTGAAAGCCATTGATATTTTCCATTTTTTTTCTTTTGTAATAATTTTAATATTCTTCCATCTGATGTTCCAACATACAACAATAATGCTTGTTCTCCAGCATTATTTCCCGTTGTTATACTTATGTAATCGCTAACTAATTTTGTTACAATCATATTTGATGATTGAAAGGCAATTTGAAAAGGTGGACGAGTGTAAATGTTGCCGTGTATCAAGACATGAGAACGAAGAAAACTCAAAACAGTATCAGATAAATTTTGGTTTGAATCACACTAGAGAAAAAACAATGAGTTTCAAACACATATTTATAACAACAAAGTCTATATTAATCAGACATTTTTTGGTACGCCTTCTGGCATATGATCTCGTGGTAATTCACGCCAAAAACTGGATGAATCCGCTTCTTTGAATGTTCCTTCGAGGACACTGTCGATGTCTTTCTGAGTATATTCACATATAACTGATGTTGTCAAATCACCACTAAAACAAACGAACTAAATTAAAATGGAAGTCACCAATGTAAAACGCTAGTCGGCATGTCTATATAATGCTGTAAGTATGCTACGCTTTCTTCACGTTGATTGTGCTATACTGTAGCTACAAAAGCTCATACAGAGCCTGAAGACATTTTTAAAGAGCAAACATTTTCTTCAAGTAGATCATTAAGCAAATCCCCATGGTCAATAGATTTACAGATTAAAGATCGTTAAAATAGAAACCAGGTCCTATGAATAGAAAACTTATAAAAGAACACGAGATAAACCATCAATGTTTGCTTTCTCATTAATTGAAAAGGAATTGTTTACTCTTGGAAATGAGACGTCTTCCAGCTCTGCATAAGCTTTCTCGGAAACGCTGTGATACTGGGGAAAAGTAGACACTTACGAAAAAGTTGACTGTTAGCCGTACAGCCGCAGTAATTTTAAGTGGTTTTCGAATCTTCTCTCTCTTGTTTCATTACAAGTATTACTGAAACTGGTAGAGAAAAGAGAAATGTAGTCTTAACCATGCAAAAATACTTGACAACAAGATATGATCCTCTTAAAATTCCCTATTAACTAAAGTAGGCTAATTATGAAACTGTATCTACCCATAAATGAGAACTTTCATACTTTTTGTAGCAAAAGTACATTTGTTCACCACCTTAGTGGCGCTGGCAAAAGAGAGTAAGATGAGAGTATAAAACGTACGGTGTAGTTGTGAATGAAACGACAAAACGATCATCATATAATTTTGCAACAGCACCTGAATACAAAGAATTTCAAGTATATACAAATAATTTTTGCTTCTTAAAATGCTTACTGATATCGTTGAATACATATGGCGTATCTGAGGTTCCACTCATACAAATTATTCTTGCTTTACGAAATGATGTCCAATAATTTGCCATGATTGGTGCCGAACCAATATCATTCTAATAATAGATGAGTATAATATTGTAAACATTCATTTAATAAAATAGTTTACTTACTTTACAAACTCTTCCAACACGTGAATATACATGAGATAAAGTCGGTTCATATGATTTTTGTTCTTCAGCTTTTTCACGAAAAAAAAAGTAGATGTACGAATCAACATCAAACGAAGCAATAAATTCTGGTGCTAAAGTTTAAAAAAATAGAACAATTATCTAACGTTTATTATCTAAAGTTTAGTTGAAAATGTGAAAGATTACATACCACTAAGCCAATCAATATCATATTGTGGTGTTCTCATATATTTGATTGTGCTATCTTCAGACGGTGGACGATAGATAATTGGCTCCGTTTTGGTATAATCCATAACAGCTCCAGAATAGATAAACCCATAATTCGACGGATTACCACTATCTGAAAAATAAGAGATGCGATGTACACTACGATAGAAATAACGATCATACTTTAAGTACATACCTGACCATAACGCTGTATTGTTATGGCGAGGATCACGAGAACAATAACCAAAACCCTCTTTAGTAGGAAGTTTTTCAGTTAAATCGGGCTAAAATGTCATACATAATTCTCACTATTCTACTTAGAACAATTACAGATAAAAAAAGATTGTTGACAGCGACTCACATTAAAATAATAAATTTTTGGTGAAAATGCATTTGTTGAACAAACAAATAAATCATTGAATTTTGTTTTTCGTCTCAATAAAACACGTACATGGTTTTCACAATCAAATGCCTGAACAAATATAGACACAGTTCATCTTCTGTAATAATTCGCTTAACAGTAAAACAAACCTGATTCAACGAATGTGATAAACATTTTTGCACTTCATCACGCTTCGATGGTATATCAACAGATTTGTAAAGCTACATAAACAAAAAAAGAGATAAATTGTTTTAAAAGAGACAAATAAATAATCAGAAAAACAACTTACTGGACTCGAACGATCTTCAATGTTATCCTTGCTCAATCGCAATAGAAGATTTCTATTTTATAAAAGAAAGGAGGAAAAGAATTATGTTTAGTCAATTAAAGTAAAGGGAAAAAACTTACTGAGCTCCAACGTAAAGACTATCTTCATCCAATAAAATATGCCAATAATAATTCAATCCTGAGCTATATTTGCGGAGTGCTAAAATAAAAGAGAAATAAGAATTATGATGACCAACAGTTCTCGTTCGAATAAATAAACACTAACATGCAGGCGTAAACGATGGAATAGGAATTATTTGTGAATTACATAACGTAAATAAGAAGAAACTGAACAAATTAAATAAAACAATAAAACACCATCGAAAATCCATCTAAAAATTTCAAAAAATTCACTTCATATTGTTTAGATGGTTATAAATAATAAAAAGTAAAATGCACATGATAAACGATACAAAGAATTAAGCCGATCAGTGAAAGAAAAGAGTACGATAGATAATAAAGAAAAAACGTTTCATGTTTTTCATACATATCAAGATACAAAAAAAATGATCTAAATAGTATTTATGAAGTGTCCTTGCCGAGGATATAGACTAGTCACTGCGTTCGTCTCTCTTTTTGGTGAGACACAAAATATGGCACATTTTTATTAATAACACCAATGAAAAAAGACGATACATGATAATCTTAGCCAATACTGTGTTAAAAAGAAACGAAGAACTGACTTCTCAGACCTTTTTCATACTAAAATCTATTTTGAAAGATCATTCATACTGGTATCCTGTCTGTGTTTATAAACACGTAGACCTACTTTCAGAAAGAGCAAAAAAACAAGTCTCTCTAATGAAACCCATCAAATTCTCTTCATTTTTTGTATCATTCTTATATACGCTTTCTTTTGCATTATCCATCTGCCGTATAGTCCCTAATATTCGAGATATTTTATTCTGTTCCTTTGTCTCAGATCTTTGACATACATAAATTGAAGTGCTCTTCACCTATTCTTTTATTTGGTGATTACCTCACTTTACCTTTGATGAGTGTACGTAAGTGTGTGTAAAAAACAAAACAATGACTAAATCGATTTATTAAAAGATTAAAATCTTTTAGTCTAATATCATATATGAAACTATAATATAACGTTTGTATTGTGTAATAATAAATATAAATAAAAAAAAAATAAAATCATTATACAAACAAAGAAATAGAAGATTTTCTTTGCTACTAACCAAAGTGTCGGATTATATACATCACTAATATCAAAAATAGAGCATAATTTATCAGAATATTTTATCCAACAAAAATATGAAACTACATAAAACAAAGAAAGAACACTGTTCCAAAATAGTTCAATATAATTATTCACAAAAACGAAAGAATAAAATCTGAAATCATTGAAATATATATGTACAAGCTATATCTGAATAAAAGCTTCATATTTACAATGAAAGAGTTAAATATCTGCGTAGTAAGTTAGGTAGAAACGTGATTGTGTGGAAAAATGAAATTGTATGTACAATGTTTCTTTTTATATCAATTACGTAGCGTGACCATTGGTACTATTCAACACTTTTTGTTGTCAAGTATTCAAAACAAAAATCGTCTAAAAAGATAAAACAAAGATTATAAAAAATAGGTACTCTAATAGATTTTGTTGAAATGGAAGGAAGCTAGTCTGTTTTTTCTTCTATGACTGTCATATAATAGCGTAATCCTACAAAAGAACTAATTTTGACTCTGGCATACTTATGAAGAATAAACAGTGCTAGACTCCCGAAAGTCGAGTGAACAAAAGATTTCTTCATACCGGTATTGATTTTATGCCGTCGATTGATTACTATTTCATCCGAGCTTATTTTTGTCAGTTTAGCCTCGTTGTCTGTATCCGACGAAGAATTTGTTAAAGACGACGTTGTATCGTTATCTGGTTGATCTTTTTTCGTATGTCGCCGACGTCGGTGTGTTATTTTCTTTAGCTTTTGTTGTTCCTGTTGATTAACAAATAAAAAAACGTGTGTCTTATTCAATAATGAATCAATATTTGCCCCCAATTGAATTTTTTTCTCCATGAGTAATGTTAATAATTGAGTATTGGCTAATGTATTATGTAGAAATTGACGTTTTGTAGTTAGAACAGCTATAATATCATCTGTATGTACTTGTGATAACCGTTTACCTTGTTCCTGTAAAACTTTAATTATGTCGGTTTCTTGTATGACACAATAATTAATTTCAATATCTTCTCGACTATCAACAACCGAGAGAGTGATTAATAACTGAGCACCGTAATACGTTGCCATAATCAATATTTGAGAACCAGGTATGGGAGTTACAAAACGATCCAGAGCCAATAGTAAATCAGATGTTGCAAAGAGAAGACCACCTTGATAAAAAAATAGACAAGTATATCAATAGAAAGACAAAGCAACCCTATCAGACCTGCTTCAGAGAGTTTTAAATGTGAAACTGATCATTGAGTGTCTTTAGCGTTTATATCCTATCTACCCAATTTTGAAAGATTACCATCGTAATCCGCTCATGAGAGCGACAGAAAGAGAGAAAAAATCGACCCGAACTCATTAATTTTGGATATAAACTTCAGCTCTTTTGTTTCTTCAGAATAAATGGTGATGAATATCACAACACACCGATAAAACTATAAAATCTTGTCCATGTCCATTCTTTATCGTCAAATTTTAATCTTGCTATTGCACGCCAGATCATAATCATTGTTAAAAGTATATACAGATAAATCTAAATTAGAGCAAAATCATAGACATCATTTTTAATAGATCGTGCACCATTCCATAATTTAGTCTTAGAAAACAAAGATATCTCTTGGTACTTGTTTATACTCACAACGTAAGACAATGGTTTATACAATATTGACGAAAACATTGCCCATGATAAAATAACTGGAGCTAACATGAATGGTATCATTAACAATCGAAGTGGTCTCATTCCATAAGCAGTTGCATAAATTATGTGTGAGATACCAAAAGCCAATACTCCGTGTATAAAAAATCTAAATTAAATAAAAAAGATGATTCATATTCTGAACAACTTTAGTAGCTGCTGTAGATACTTACAGATGATCGAAAACAAGAAATGCATCACCGAGCATTGAGAATACTAAACCAGTCATAATTCTTCTCGCATATGAATATTCAAATCTTAGATTCATTCCATGTAATAAAATAAATATTATTAACGAACAAATTGGCAAACATTTAATTATTAAATAAAATATATTTGCTTGTTTAGAATTTTGATTGGGAAATAAGACAAAAAATATTGCAACAGTTTTAAAAAATGGTACCAATTTTGGTATTGTTTTACGACAATTACATTTCAATACTGCTGGTAACCTTGTAAACACGGATGATGAGGAAAAAGTCGATGGCTGCGTTGTTGTAGTCATTTTGATTGTATTAAAATCTTAAAAAAACTTTAATTTTAAACAAAATCACATAATATTCATAACACACACTCTCCTGTTTACGTTTTAGACTAAACCTGTATGAAGTATTCTAAAATTGTTTAGAAGCAAAAACATAATTTTTTACGTTGACTATCTGAAACTGTATATACGAGAGCTGTATGACACTCAAAGTTTTGACCCTTGGAGGGATGATTCTCAAGAAATCAGAGATGGACTAATTGTTTTCAAAAGAAAGATCAGGTACCAGCCCACAATAAGTAAACAATGTTCTTCCAGTCAGATCACATATCCTGGTATATACTTACCAACAAAGATAGTTTGTTCGTGAGTTAGAGACCCCACTTGTTCTTTTATTCCAAAATAATTTTTATGATTTATTATAGATTGTACTTGTTTTTATTATTAATATAACCACAATAAAGTGAAGAAAAGCAAAAGACAAAAGCTACTATCAATCGGTCATGTGATTAGAACAGAAAAAACTTTCACAAGACTACACCTTTTGACGCCATCAGTCACATGCTTTAGAAATATAGAAAAGACGTTATTTTTTAAGATCATGTGCTTTAAGAGGATACAAAAAAATAGTTCTGAAATTATTTATATACAATAAGAAATAAAATTTACACTACATAACTTCAATCATACTATTATTACTTTTTTGCGCTGTTTCTTTATAATATGTGGTTGTCGAAAAAAAAGAAACTGCGCTATAACCTATAAGTTAAATGTTCGGAGATCAGATTGGTTAAGGCAAGCAACCTGCAAAACATTGTCCAAAATTTATTTGTTATTTCTCAAAGCATTTTGATTGTCAAAGTATCTTTGTATAGCTTTTGGATGTAAATACATACTTTCCTCATGCATGAAGAGTAAAATTCCAAAAATAATTATGATGTACAAACGTATTTTTCTTTTTAAACAAATGACTAAAACATGATGTTATTACAGCAGGAGCACATTGGAACTCAGTATCTCGAATGGTATGCTGATTAGAAGATTTGAACTCTCTCACTCGTATCGGATTATAACAAATTTTACCAATAAACTGCTCAGAGAATCGTATAGAGAGAAACTGAAAACTAAAGTTCAACCTATCGTCACAACTTGGAACATTACCTGAACTATCATCAAAATCTGCTCTGAGAGTATAGAGTACATCACACGAAAGACGGTAAGAAAATGAATATAAGCCCAGCAAGTAATGATAAATTTGGATATGGCTTTTTGTGCTCGTGCTCGATAATGTTGTCTACTGAGAACCTTATAATTCCATCACTTACGACCGCCTTTCTGATTATTTTTATGCGTTATTGGTAGTATCAGAAAAGCATATGCACATTTTGATTGGCTGTATTTGTTTAGACAGCATGCCATCAGCGACATACCCAGCACTAGGCCAAGGGTGGGTCATGACCCACCCCTTAGAAATTTTGTTTTCTTCAATTTGCAGTAGAAAAAAATATTTCATTAAAATCGAAGATAAAAAGACTGCACAAGAGCTTATTTTAGTTTTTTCTTTAGCCAAAGAAAGGTTTGACCCACTCCTCAGTGGAATTTTGGGTACGTCGCTGGATGCCAATACCACCTACTGAGTAGATAACAGGAAAAAACATTCAAAGAAGGATGTCTTTAAATTATTATCTTCGAAAATGTGGATAAAACTTTTATTTAGTGAAAGACAGTCGAATTTTCTATTAGTATTAAGTCTAAGTTTTCTAAGCAAAATGTAAAACTCTTTCCTCGTGGTTCATGTCATATTATTCTTACAAAGTGGACAAACACGAAGCATTACTACGCTAGCCTTTGAAAATTAGTTAGAACTATTAATTGCGTTCCTCCATGTCGTCCTCATGGGCATACGCATCTGTCAGCGAGAGGAGGAAGAAGACAAGTAATTTAATTAGCGTGTGTATCATCACATAAAAAGCGATGCATGCGGCATCTTTGCTCAGTATCTATGCATATATCAATCTCTTTAGAGTAAAAAAGACCAAATAATGTACAAAAAATTGCGATGCTGCACAAGACTCAGATAGAAAATAAGCACTTTAGAAATAATCGAGTTCATAAGGAGTCTGAAATGGAAATGAATTAACCACTCTATAGCTGTTTTGAAAATGAAATAAGTTCCATTCGGCGTGTTGTCACACACATCTGTTGCAGAATGAGTAGATGTCAAACGTGATATTTCTACATTTTAATACTTTTCCTATAGTGCTGTTCTTCGCTAATTTCAGTGATGAGTCGTTGCGCTTTTGCCGTAGTCCTTTGATGCCTTGGATGATATTTTAGTTGCTTTTACTTAAACTCGGTAGAACTGAAAAGATTTAAAAAATCCATAATTGACGTTTGCTCTATTGATGAATGTTCTTTAAACGAAAAGGTCTTTTACCACTTTGGAGAGAAGTTCTTTTGTTGCGATAGCTCTGCATTTCGCTGATTCTTATACTATTCGCGTTGCCCACTTAGTTTATTCATAACTAGTAGCGCTGTGTTCAAACTGGTTTTGTCTAACATAACAAACGGGTACATCATCAACACATTGAATGTTACCTCAATGTTTTCAATTGTTCTCGCAATTTCTTGAAAGGAGTGAGTGTTACAACAAATTTCTCAAAATAAAGTATCAGAACATCATTTCGACAAGTTCTAGGTGAATGAATGGGATTTGAATGCAAGAAAACTCGTGAGTCATCATTAAGAAAAATCTGGCTAGTAGATAGTACAGATTAACAATAATCAGCAATCAACATGCTTCTTATCGTAGAGATCAAAACGACAACTATAATAATCATAATCTGGTAGTTACGGTAATAATAAGAATCCAAATCGTTTTGCACAATAAAATCATCGTCGAGCTACCTTTCTTTCATGTTTCAACAACAATTCTTCACATCGTTCGACTTATCCCCAACATAATGACCACCTATTGATTCATAAACTTTGTAGTTATTCACACAATATTTCAAATTCTTAGACGAATTTTGCTCTTTTTAATGACAAAGGTGTTTTTCTACTTTAGTGACTTCGACGACCGATCTTTATTTTAAAACATGAATCTCGATTCAATAAAAATTAATTGAAAGATGCCTCTCTCTGGTATTCACTCATTCGTCGTGATCAAAATTAATGTGCAGGAGGTCTTGCAGCGTGTATATTTCCTCTGCGTTACAGTCAGACATGTGCACCGATAAAAAATTTTCGGCGGCGGCGAATGAAATTTTTACCATAGGCGACGGCGGCGCCAGGTTATGCCAGTTTCCTACGCCTTCCGCGGCGGCGGCGCGAGGTTATGAAAATTCCCTCCGCCTTCGGCGGCGGCGAGTAACAACGTTCTCTTTCATATCTGGCACGTTCTTCGCGCACCAACTGTATCTGTACGTTGCTGTATACGAAAAGATAGAAACGCGCTGCACGCTAGATACCTAAGGTAAAAACATACTAACAAAAATAGTCAAAATTTCCGGAAAAAAATTTTTTCCGCCCGCGGCGGCGACAAAAGTTTAACGGCATGGCGGCGGAGATCAGAACAGTTTTTCTCCGCTGTCAGCGGCGGCGGAAGTCGCAACAATTTTTGTCCGCCTTCAGCGTGGGCGCACATCTCTGGTTACAGTTCTCTATTCTGTCTTTTCTGACATTATCCGAACGCTTTAAATTGATACTTGAATAGATGATTTCTGATGATTTTCCTTTTGTATAATTATTATCATTTGCAAACAATCTTCGTCGACTTTTTCTTGTTGTACTATAAATTTTTGTGAATATATTTTTATCTCTTCTTGTTTCGTGTGCTGACCTTAACTCAAATTTTTGTGTTCTCTTGCTGTTTTTCCTTTAACTCCTACTTCTAATAGCTAATATTAATTATGTTTAATTATGGGTTTGGCCAAGCGCTTAACTGTCTGCAGGGATTAATTCACCAAGGTATTGAGACTCACGTCTTGCTTGAAAGTGAGAAAATCAAAAGAAAATCTATTTTTTCGTCCATCGAAGCACTATCATGTACTTCAATGTCAACGGGACAAGTTTTTTGCCAAAAGAAAATCTAATCCCATCACAATTTCTACTCCACACCTCCATTCCGTCCGAAATGAAATAGACAAGGAGCTGAAACAGTGCGAAAAGAAATTTTTTTCTAGCTTTTAGCAAAATAATTTACATTGTCTCAGGTTTTTTGGAAAGGTATAGATCGGGCAATGGACAGGGAAAACGATCTTTCTGCCGCTATTTTACTGAATGATAGAAAGACCAACTCAAATGCTGCCAGTACAAGTATTGACCAGTTTCTCTTTTATCAATTTTGAGTAAAATTTTGCAGAGGTTTATCTACGGCTAGCTTTTTACGGATTTAAATAAACAGCAGTTCCTCTCCATCAGAAGAAAATATTAATGGGTTTCCTTTCAGATCCTTCTCACAAAGCTTCCAACGTTGGGTGTATCTGGAGGCGCTCTGAGATGATTTGAGAGTCGTCTAACAGGAAGAAAGCAGCGGATTTGTATAGGATCCTCTGGAAAATGGTAGCAGTACTTTTAGAATCCTATCGTTTAACAAAAAAAAGTTCTTTCTCTGTATTGTCGTGAAAAATCTGCTTATTTTCATCGTATCTCTTATTTGTTCTTTAATCCTTGCAAGTTTTAGAGTTCGATTAAAAAACTGTCTGCTTTTCATTTCACTCAATCCTCATCTATGTTTTTTGACTGCAAATCTGTCTCTATAGCCATGTCTGGTCTCATTTTCCTCCTGTTCATTTCTTTTCGTCTCATTTTCATTCTCTTTTTAAGTTGTGTCTCTCTCCGAGGAGTATTTCTGCTTTATGAGAAATTGCTTAAATTGATTCTATTCACATAGAAACTCTGTTGTTAATTTGTCCAGTTATTATCGTATCTCAAGTCCCATTGTGAAACTGAAGTGTTTGAACGCTTAATCTATGATTTCATTTCTAATCATATCTCTAACCATTCATTTTTAAAAATAACGATTTTCTTTTCGTTCTAAACGTTCAACTCTTAGTCCTCTGTTGTTATCCTCTTTAACTCTGACTAACTTTTGGAATGCTGGTGTGAACTGTGTTTTTTGATTTATCTAATGAGTTTCACTCTGTTTCTTACTCTTTGTAATTATCACATTATAGTGCGAGTGGTGTTTTCCTGTCTGTTTGACTACTTACTTTTCCAATTGTCTCGTTGTATGCGCATGGATGACTCTATCTCTTCGCTCTCTGCTATTTCTTCTGGTGTGTGGTAAGCGTTCTTGGAATCTCTTTTATTTATCATTTTTATGGGTGAGGTTTCTGTCTCTTCTACTTAATTGTGAGAAGTTTCTTTGCTAATAATATTTTCTCAGTTGTTCTTTTCTCTTCGAATTTTCTCATGTTCAAAACTGAAAAAGTCTGTTTTAAATTGATCTAATTCTAATCTCATATCTTTAAATATATCGAAATGATAAAAAATTTCTTTTCTTTCAATTGTTTATAGTCAATTGAATCTAATGAACGTTCCACTATCTACTTATAACATCCTTCAGCAACATTCCTCTGTTATTGCCCTCGTGTTCTTGGTCTATGCGATCCAACATAGAGTGAACAGTACTGAACTAAGATAATAACGGACACTGCTTTTACTTGTCGGTAATAGTTGGTGATATTAAATCACATCTTTAATTTAGTCTTTCCTAAAAGATTTGATATTTAACTTATCCTTCTTGTATTCTTACAAAACTTGATTATTATTATGTCCTAAATGATAGTTCTTTTTTCTTTCTGTTTTAATTCTCTAAATAACTTCGCTATTCGTATGATTTCTTACCGTTTCTCAAGTTCGCTTGCTTCTGAACTATTTCTCAAATATTTTTCTTCGTCGTAAACGTTTTAGACTTGTATAATTCTTTAAAATTTATCATGATATCAGTCCCGTTTCTATTTTTTATTCTGTTTGGTGTCCTCTCTCTTCTTTACGTTGCCATTGTTCCAATTCAAAGTACGTTCGTATTCCTTCTTGTTAACAGTTCTTCTCCTTAAACAGTACATGCCTCTTTTACTGAAATAATTTTACAGAATCTCATATTATTGTTCGTCTTGACTGTATTTCAAAAAATAGTTTCCAGTTTTCTCCTTCGTAAATGTTAAATGCTAGTTATGTTCCGATACTCTTACTTTGTTATTTGCTAAATTTGTTTCATATCTGTTTTTTATTAAATTATCAGCATTCTATGATAGAGATCATCTTGTTATAGATCAGAGACCTTTGGTGATCTGAAGTTCCAGATATTTATTCCTTTTAATTAGATGAAATTAACCTGTTTTCGCAGATTGATGTATCTTTAGTTACAAAAGATTTCTGTCGTAATGTTATGCTTTGTGTATCATCCATTACTGAGTTCTGTTTCTTTTCCTTCATCTTTTTTCGAATAATTAAAGCATTTATTTTTACTCATTATTATGTAGGTTTGTTAATATTTTTAGATGATTTTTGAGCGACTCTTCCTTTCAATTTCAGTGTGTACTCAGCGATAACAATGATATATTTGCTCAATCGATCGCATTTGCATTTCGTCAATTATTCGTCTTTGTTCTTTATACGATGGTCTATAGTTTTGTTAATATGTTTAAACAATTTTTTTCCCGCTGAATCCGATATCTATGTGGTATGTTTTTAAACTTTGTAACTGTGTATCTCGTATATATTTTATCTATTAACTCTAGTATAATCAAACGGGAAAAAGTTTGGATGATTTTGATGATCAACAAGCAAGTTTTGGACCATCATTGCCATCTGGTGGAATAAAAGTATGACAATTGTTTCATGAATATGTATTTCATAATGCTTCTGTTTATAGGGTTATTTAGCTATGGCAAATCCATTACACGCATGTAGACTAATTAAACCACCGCCAAGTATTAATTCAACGATAAAATATCCATTTTGGATTGCACTTATCCAGCGTGTAAAACAATCAAGTGGAAATGATTCTTGTACTTTTGATAGAAAGGTTTGTAACATAGTAAAAATGTTAAAACCTTTAATTCATCAGTTCTTTGTCGATTCAGATTTTAAATGCACAAAGATTTTTTAATGCCGTTATTATCTTTAATTATGAAGAGAGTTTGACACCGATGAATTCAGATGACAGTAAAGGTACAAATTTTGAAAACAGAAAGATATTTGCAGGCAAATTTTATCACAAATAATTACCTGTATCAAGGCTTACAAGTCTGTTTAAAATAAATGATTTTTTTTAAAGGTGTGCTGATTCCAGCTGTCTCTATAACGAAAAGTGCCGGTTTGGTATTGATTCGCCACTATGTGTATAACATATCTTCAAACGACACTCCACCGTAAGTTTGTCCTCTATATAAATTATATTTGTTATGTTCTTGTTTTTTTTTTCAGGTATTATATAAGAATCACACCTGATCCACCATCCAGATTAACATTTTATTTGTTGCCGTTCATTGCGATTATCGGTATCTGTCTCCTTGGTTTATTCGGTTTTGTTGTACGTTAAACTAATTGCTGCTTTTCCACTCCACTATAGCCGTGTTCGTTTATTTGTTTCAGTTAGTCAGATGTTATTTACATCGTCGAAGAGAACGTAGACATCGTCTACCTCGATCAGCTTTGAAACAATTAAGAGTAAAAAAATTTCGAAAAGGTGATCCATACGAAGTATGTGCAATTTGCTTGGATGACTTTGAAGAGGGTGCTAAAATAAGGATACTTCCATGCGATCATGGTACATAATCTATTGTTTTAAACGATATCCTAATTTAATTGAATTTATTTCATTTTTAGCATATCATACGAAATGTATTGATCCGTGGCTATTAAATAATAGACGTCAATGTCCTGTTTGCAAACGTTATGTATTTCCAAATCGAGATCAAGACTCAGACGACGACTCTGATCATCATCCAACAGAACAAACGCATCTTCTAAGAGCAACTCGTGAACCAAATAACGACTCAGATCGAAGAGGTAATAAGAAAAGTTATACATTCAATTAGTTTTTGGTCTCTATGATAGTTTAAAAATGTAACATATAATAATTTGTTTCATCATAGTTTTTTATCAATGTCAGAAAGAAAATCGTTCTTAATACTATAAAACATAGAAGTACAATAGTTGTGGTAACGAGTGAATTAGGAAAAGAGGACAATATTTCTATAACCTTTCAAATGTTTTTATCAGGAATTATTCGTTCACACTATATACATTTTCTCTGTTTATTTATTTTCAGATCGTCGAATTTTACATCATCCAGTAAATGCAACTACGTATAGTTCATTTGAAAATGATGATGCTTACAATAATACTCCAAATGTGAATATTACACATTCGTGGCATCAGCATTCAGACACAACAGATAATTCAACGTTATTTCAATCAGCCAACCATAATACAACGTTAGAAGAACACGATGGCGATTATCGTCAACAACAGAATCGAATTCAACGAACAAATAATGACCAACATGGAATATACGACAGCGTTCGTTCATCATCTTTTACAGATACTCGTGCTGCGAACTTCTTTGTTGGTAGTGTTGGTGATCAAAATAATAGTAATTTTTCATATTCACATTCTTATCCAGACACAACACCCATTACTTATGATACAAGAACAACATCTAATACAAATATTTCAGTTAAAAGTGTCAATGAGATGTCGTCATCTACATTGTCATCTGAAGAGCAGGATGATAACAATGATAATATGCATTCGGTCATATCAGACACATCACAAATGCATCACCGCTTTTCTGACGATTATAATGTTGATAATAATGGGAGTCAGACAATTGTTTAAAAATTTTTTCTTTTTCTTATTTTGTCTTTCGTTTAATTATTATCAAGATCAACAGTGTCTTCTTGTACAGAATATGTATAGCATTTTATTTTTCTCTGTTGCTCAAATTTTGATGAAGTGCACAAATTAATTCAATGATTTTCTAGCTGTTATATGCTACGAACGTTTCACTTTTATTTAGCAATTTTTTTTAACGATCGTATATTCGTTTTTGATTTTTTCTACTAAAACATCTATTTTTTTTTTTTTGGTTACTCTACCTAATATATAATTGTTTGTGTATTAGTCTTATGTTCTTTTGTCTCTCTGTTTCTTTTCTGTTTTTTTAATGCATTTTGATGAATTCATCGTTATGTCATTTACGCAGCAGTTAGCTGGTGTTTATTGTTTATATTTAATAATAAAAAAGGAAATTTTTGAGAAAAAGTTCAAAATAAACAAATGTATATATTTTGATTTCATATATTTTCAAAAATTTATTATTATTTGAAACTATTAAGCAGACAAAACACATACTTAACAAAACATATAAGCATAAATGATGTTTTTTTGACTTTTGATCATCTTTGTTTTTTCACAATGCTACAATGAATTTTCAAATAATTATCAATAATTGTATTATTTTGATGGTAAGTTTTCTTCGACGATTAGTTATATCAACATTAACGCTGACTTTTTCCCGTCGGTTCTTCATCGTGTTTCATCTTACCAATTTTATTTTGCGAAAAAAACCCGCATATTTTCAACTGATAGAGTAAATATTTTTTTTTAGCTTAGCCATTTATCTTCCCACTCCCAGATGTTGACCATTAAATTACTATAACAAGATGATGATGCTGAATATTTGAGAACTAGAGCGTAGTGAAAAACAGGAGAAATGTACCTTCAAGATTGATAGATAAATTCAATGCAAATCAAGAATTTTCATCAAAAACTACCTCAGAATTCTAAATTGTTGAGACTAAGGCAATTATTTGTCTCTGTTGGACGTATAATATCACTTATCAAATGACCGTAATCAATTGTAAAATGCCGTAAAAAGATGTCTGAGTTATGTTGCAAGCTTTAGTTGTCAATGGATTCATTTAATCAACATGTTGTATACCATTTAAACTAGCGCTGACTTTTTCTACTAATGCTTTATGATGAATTATTCTTTTACTCTAGTTTGAATTTTCCCCTTTTCTGTTGTACTTTTAATAAAAAAATTATAGTATTTTAAACTAACATTGGAATATTTTGTTTGTGTATGTTGGCATCAGTGATACTGGACTATAAAATAGTGGTGGATTGTATTAGATTCTAGCAATAAAACAAAAAAAAGAATTATTTCAAAAATACGACTGAATAAAATGATAAATTCGAAAGAAACAGAAAAGAATGAAGTTATGTCAATCAAATTGCTCTTTCATGCTTCGAAAAATACTACCACCATACCAACCGATTGTTAAGCGTTTCATTAAAGCTTGGTATTGAACGACAACTATCGTTATTTTTGAGATTTAAAAATGGAAGACAGGATGATTCAATTACTATCAGTATATCGTTACATATCTATAATTCATCCTTTTGTTTTATTATTGGTGTCGATTTTTCAAATTGTTGTCAGAATATTAAACGTTGATACTGGGTAGATACATGTAGAAACCTCACAATGCAAAGCACTGTGAATATTGACAAAAAAAGGAAAAGCTATCTTGATAGAAATAAAGACAAACGATCAATGGAACTGAAATAAGCCATGATTCAGCGAAAAATCATGATTCTACAATAAGTCTAGCACTAAAAATAATAAAGGTCTAATTTTGTAAAATTCTTTTAAAGTTTCACAGTTGAAACTATTTATCATTATTGGTTGTACTTTATACTATTTAGAATTGAAATTTCGTTTTGATCCCTGCTATTCTGATATTTTGTATGAATAAACAAACTTCTTTCTTTTACTACCATCATGTCAACGAATGTACGAATAATACACGATACATATTGAATAAAAAGACGAAAGAAAAAAGATTTCGTCAAACACGGCCGACGACATGCGCATCTTCTTTGTTTTTCGTTGTTCGATAAAACATTTTCTTCTTCACTTTACTACAAATATTTATCACATGAAATTTTTCTTGAACAAAGAATATATTCTATTAAATTTCAAAGTGTTTTATTATTCGATTGGAGTTTCTTTGTTAATCTATCTAAAACATAGACTGACGTATGGATATAAAATAGATTTTTTAAATAGAGAAAGAGCACCTTATATAAGTCAGAATTCACTTCATATATTTGTCATATTCTCAAGAAGGGAGAAGTTATGTTTATCATTTCAAGTAAGTTATAGTTGATTGTAAAACGACATCAAATTTTTCCCTACAACATCACCGGTTGTGAGGAACGCCTTGCAACGATACGGGCGTTTTTAACAAACCAGTGAAAATTGTTTGGATTTGAACATCATCAATCTCAATTTGTAAAATTAAACGTTCATCATACATTCACTGTTCGATGTGCCTCGCTTCGATATGTTAAGCGATGTACTTGAATAGTGAAAATATGTGTACTGTTATAATCATTCAATTACGATAGACTTTTTTTTAAAAATTATTTTCATCTACTGTTCATTTGTGCCTCGCTGAGTGATGTGAGAATAAAGCGATACGCATTGAACAGTTAATGAGGATAAATTATTTTATTTGTTTATTTTCTTTTTCATTTTAGTACATTAATAAGTTAAGTTGATCAACTGTTCAGCTATGCCTCGCTATGATAAATGTATCAGCGATCCATTTCCGAACAGTCGATTAATTTATTCATCTTTCGTCGATTATGAACGTTCTTCGAGACAAACAATGCAGCACGTCATTTTTTGTTCACTGTATTTCTTACCTCGCTTTGTTCGAATAAAAGCGAGAGTAAGGAATTTGCAGTGGCTTAAATTTGACTTAAAATCGTTGACATTATCAACTTGTTGATTATAAACGCGCCATGAAACTTTTCTTATTAGTGTATCGATCACTCCTACTACAACACATCATATACAAACTGATCCCACAAATCATCATATGATAGATCTCGATGTGACAATAATTTAAAATATTTAGACATACATTTGAATAATACTACGCACTTGATATTGAAATATGGTGTTGATTTTGCTAAATATTTAGTGTGTTGGATTCATTAAGTTTTCTTAAAAAATTTTCTTGATGATCTTAATTTGAAACAAATTTTGAAAGTATACAATATGATTGAGTTGATCAAATCACAATTCAGAGAAAAATTATAGTATCGACACTAGTAAACGAGAAGAAAATTAAAGAACAATTCTTGAATTCAAATTAACATATTATGCAATATGTACAAACTTTTTTAGATAATGGAACAAGTTTGTTGAATGATGCAGGCGTTTGTAACAAGATTTAGAAATAGTCATGCTTTAGATGTTTATCTATTTATTGCTGTTGAGATGGTGTTGATGATTGTTACAGTTGAGAAAAAATGTACAATATAAGTCGTTAGATAATCAAATTGTTTCTTTTATGGAGAATACGTAGAATGTTAAAAACAGAAATTCAACTTGCTGTTTCAAAATAAGTTTCAATATTTTTTCATAACTTTTTGAGCTTGACCCAAAAGATCATCTTTAGTTTTAATCACCGTTCAGAAAGAAAAGATAAACATTTAAACTGAATTTTTTAGTAAAATAATTTTATAAAGCTACAGCTGTTTAAAGCCCTTTAATTGTTCGATTCAGTTGACTCTTCAACTAAAAGCCATTATCCATTGATCGCCTAGAACACGAAAAAGCTGAAATCTATTAACAAACAGTAATTGAAAATATCACCAATTACGGTAAAAACATACGGCTTCATTTTCAAAATTGGAGGGAGATTCTTGAACTTTTTTTGTTACTGCTTATGTGGAGTATTATGCTGACGCCTTTTGACAAAAACGAATGATTGGATTTCATTTAATTTTACGATCTTCTTTAAAGCAACGTAAAATACCATTATGAATTATTTTAAAATTTGAATGAAAAATATTCAAATATAAGATAAAAAGTCTTCAGCGAAAAAAGCGATTGAGAAGAAAAATGACCATCAAATTCTTTCTTATTGGATCATCATCGAGTTTCATTAATTGTAAAAGAATATCTGTACAACATTATCTGGGACTACTGAAGTTTACTAGAATACATACATTGCATAAATTCGTCTGTCTGTTACTTGCGCATGGTTGATAAATTAATAAAAACGTAAACATTCTAATTCAAAATACGCTTTATAAAGTCGAATGGCTACTAATATGGTGACAGTATTCGACTTTCTTGTACGATTGGAAAGTTGATTGCTATGACTAAAATTCATTTTGTGCCATACTGACAAAAAATGAGTTTAAATGAAAATACAGATTAAACAACTAAAAAGATACTAATCTGTATTAGATGTTAGAAATAAAGGTTCATAGGTACTAAATGCTTCAATAATTTAGCGCACGCTAGTTTTTTCAACTTTTTTTAAAATAAAAACCGTCAATTTTGAGTATGTATTTATACAATCTTTATACATAGGAAAAAAAGAGTAGAAAAGAAAAAATATTTCAATAATAGACATCAAGCGGATTCTGTGGTGATAAATGATAAGCGATTTGATCTGTCACTAGTAGATGTGGTCGATATTCCCTTGTCATAGGTGTTACATGATTTTTTAATATATTTCTATTTGAAGATTTTAATATAAACTCATTTGTGTCAAATTGGACAGCTGAGTGTGATAATAGTGGGGGTGGGGGTGGTGCTTGCTTTTTATTATAAATGCCGTTTCCATTTGTTAAACGTCCGTTTAATTGATTATTTTTATTGTAATCAACAACATTTCCTCTTGACAATCGTCCATTAGAATAACCGTCTATGATCGATGTTTTGAATCCATTTTGTGGATAACTCGAATAAAGTGGATGTGCAGGTATACCTGTATTTCGCCTCTCCGATGGTAAACTCAATTCATGAATATTATTTCTATTTTGATAAGTTATATTTGACGACTGTGCAGATAATAACATAATATTCGGTTGTGATGTCGGTCCCGACCACAATGGATTCATACTGGATGGTTGACCACTATTCATCACACGATTTTCATATCTTGGGCTTAGAAGACCACTTGAACGTTGTTGTTGATATAAACGTGTTTCCGATTTTGCACGAGGTGAATTATCTTGTACCACTGTGGATTTTAATACATTCAGTGGCGGTTGTCGTCGATACTGTTCATTTGGATGACTATAACCATTTCTACCGTTATTCATATCACGACTATAGGCTGAAAATTCAATTGACGATGATTTCAAATCACCTGTGCTACCAACACTATTTTCATCTTCAGTAACCACATTAAAGCTCGTTTGTCCACGTCCAGAAAATAATCTCCTAAAACAGATTGTCTTTAATTCACCCATCAGGAATCAAAACAGAATGCATCCGACTCATAACATTGCCTTAATTCTCTTTCTACAAAGAGCTTATCTCTATGATAAAGATACTCTAAAAGGATCTTCATTAGCTGAAAGGAAATAATGATTGAAAATCCGTACTTGGTAATAGATGTGATGTTTGGTGGTCGAAAACGGAACACTGGTCGTTTGTTGATATTGCTGTTTGTGAATTCGTTTTCTAAATTTTCTATATCACCATCTGTCAAATTTGAGCTTGTTTCATCTTTTAGAAAATCAAACGCTAAACTAACTGTTTCAACCTAAATAATAAAACATTCTTATTACAAGTTGTATTATTAAAGGTAGGACTTACAGGATCTGTTGTTAAATCACTTCGTTGTGTTAATGATCTTTGTTGATCATTAGTTGAATTTGTACTACTAATACTTGATGATGAACGTCCATTAGTTTTCGGTTCATTTTGAAAAGGTTGTTTTTGATCATTGTTACTACTGGTCATTATTTTATTACTATTCTGAGGTTGAATTTGTCGTTGAACACGATTTTCGTCGTTGTTTATTGAAGAGAAACCAACAATTGTGGGCTAAAACAAAATTATATGGAAAGTTGACCAACTTAAAAAAGTTTCGAGATATAACACTCATGCACAATTATGTAGCAAATGATAAACGTTTCAAAACAGTTATAATCAGAATAAGTAATGCTCACCTTGGATCCAAAACACATGCCACAACCAAATCGTATGGCTAAATATTTTATAAATGTAAAATTTTCTCTTTCTAATCGATACATAAAAATTAATTTATTTCGTGGCATTGGATAATATTATATTACATCAAACTCTCAAAACGGGAGAAAGATTTGTAGGATATGGTCGCGTCCCTCATATAGGTATATATAACGAGCTTTTTTGTATTTTCTTTGTTATGAACACAAATGATGAATGAGTTCTATTTTTATTCTCTCTGCAGTTGACGCCTGTAACGTCTCATCAAATATACATATTTCGCTATTCTTTCTCTCTCTCCTTCTATTCCTATGCAAATTTCATCGCGGTGGACATTTGATCACATCTATCACAAAACAAATTTTTTTCATGTTATTGTACATATAGATAGAAGATATTCAATGATATGCAGGCAAATTCATTCAGATTTAGGACATTATGTATTTTGTAAAACAAGGATTTTCTTAACAATCCTGTTGATGCACTAATGAGTTATTGATAATAGAGAGAAAAGAATGAAACAATGTTCTCTGAATAACTACAGTTTGTTCTCACAAAAAAAGGAACATGATTGAGAAATTCGAGAAAGAAATACAGATTTGAACTAGTGTTGTCTTCAATGATGAATGCCATTCATTAATATTAGATTGTTCTAACTTACTTCTCTACTTCTCCATTCATTGGATTTTTCAACATGTCCATGTATACGTCTCATTGTATCATAATCTTTTGGTGGGAATAACATTGGTTGTTGTTTATTAATTTTCTTTTGAAATTCTTCTGTAATAGATTTAATTGGATTATTTTCATTATTACTGTTATCGGTTACTACATGAGAATTACTGCTACTATTATACGTATTATTATAATCAGAAGGAGTGATATTTGTGGTGCTGATTTTTGTTTTATTATCAAATAAATCCTGTGATAATATTGTTGCATCAGTTGAAGATGTTGTCATAAACCGATCAGTATTCAATAAATTTAATTCTAGTAAGCGTTTTTCTAGCGTTAAAACACGATTACGATGAGAATTATTTGATATATATTGTTTTAAACGTAATAAAAGTTTATGAGCAATTCTGTTCGATTCACAACGATAAATATGAACGAATGCAGGATAATGATAACCGGATAGTGGACTAATATAAATACAACCTAAAATTTACTAAATATGCAGAACTTTTGTACCAGTGAATGGAGGGTGTACTAAATTGTGAATTCATAATGAATGCATCCATATCAGCACAATGGAATATACTTAACGGCTATTTATCCTCAGATTTCTCATCACTAAAAATGTATACTTACCTACTGTATCATTGTAAGGATATTTTCCAATTGCACTACCGGCTACCATTGTGCTCGGTACTTGTGTTGTATATTTTTGTTCATTATCATAAACAATTTTAACACCATCATTTGTCGTATAAATAATCGTTTTAACAATATCATGGGTGAATTTTGCCTGTCGAACAAATTCAATTGCTTCACGTATCAATTGTTCATTAATCAAAGCAACGGCTGCTGTACATCCCAGATAATCACAACGTAATGTTTTTTGATGAGTTTTCGATAACTTGTACAATGCCATCGATTTTTATAGTTTTAATCTGAAAGTATTGTACAGTTATAATAAAGTTAAGGTTCAACATAGCATGATGATTTCCTCTTTTCGTATAAGTACAAAAAGCACTTAAAAACGCATTTTTTTTACCTTCTGTATCGAATGGCGACTCTCGAAAATGATGAGAGGTAGCACTACATACAAAAAAAAACAGAAATATAAGAAAAATGACAAACTGAACTGTTGTTCATCTTCGATATAGTATCATGTACAAGTCTCTTTCATTAAATCAATCTGATTTACAACAAAAAAAATAGTCCCTTTTCTCTCTTTCTCTTGTCTTATTTTGTTCTTTTAATAAGCTTACACAATGTGTATACTGACCGATGTTGACCTTGAACACAAGCAATAAAAAAAGTAATGTTTACTCAAAATTTGATCGTCGTTGTTATTGTTGATTTGACGTGACGATTAAAAAAAACACATCTCACATACATATATGAGCGATATTCCTTGTCTATATCCTTCAACTTCTTCCCTTTTTTTTTTTATTATAATAATAATATTACCTTGAGTATGTACCTATACAAACTATTTCTCAGCTTTTAAATTCTTAGAGCCTTTAATCGTTTTGTCCTGTAACAAAATACACTTCGGTTGAACAAGAAGATCTGAGAAAAACTATGCATGAATAAAAAAGAAAAAAAAGAACAAAAGCGGATTAGTTGAATGCACATACATCGTACTGATAATCACTTCTTGGTTAACATGAGCTTTTAGTTATTCTAAGGATGAAACTAACCAACTTGTCAAACTGTACTTATTCCTCCTGTTGATGATTTTTTCCTATGTCTCATCTCATATTCTACATCTAAATATTTTCCATAACTACAGGACAGCAAACTGTTAATAACACAGAAAAGGTTCTCATAGAGATGAAGAAAAGAAGCTTTGTGTAGAACTTCGCTGAGCACAATAGTATAAAAGAGAAAGTGGGAGCAACATGTTTTTTCCATTATCTATATCTATTAGTGGGCAAATGCTGTAATACTTACATTTTTTTCAAAAAAAAAAACTTTAATTTTAGAATTTATTATTTGAGTATTAAAAACAGCAACAAACAACGATAATAATAATATTTGAAGTACAATTGAATAATATAATTGTTTGAGATTTCTTTGCCTTCTTTCTTTAAAAGTATGAAGCATGTGCATCACTATATTGTTCACTGAAACATTATATAGTTACAATGTGAGAAGTGAGTGATTTTAGTTTTTAACACACGGCAGGTGTGTATAGGTTTTAAAAGTAAATTTAACTTTTATCTCAAAGTCTTACCATTTGTTTCGTGTATAAATTATTCATAGAGTATCATACATGACGAAATAGAGTGTATCATTTTCCATATCTAATTATTAATCATACAGATACCTACCTCCTCCTTTTCTCCTGATAAAAGTGTATCTTTTTTTTTCAGAAGTAAAACAATAAATAAACGAAAAAGAAAAAGAGAAATAAATGACTAAAATGGAGTAGTTGTTCCTAATAGAAACAATAAATGTCACCAAGTATAATTAACTGTAATACTTTAATGCTAGTTTTTCAATATTTTCAACAATTTTCTGTCATAGAGTAGTAAGTACTAAATTTGATAAGTCGATTAATAGAAAAAAAGCCTATCAATTTATCATTCGAAATCAGGGAGATTTTACATTTACAATACACTCCATTTTATTTTTGCTCTTATTAAGTGTCGTACTAATTGAGAACAGACATCAGTAATATATGTTTTTAATAGAAACATTCACATTCAAATATACACATGCATACATATAGTGAAACTTCTTGTACCGAAAATGAGCGGGCGTAGTACGACAAATGATAAGAGTAAAAATGAAATGGAGTGTATTGTACATGTAAAATCTCCCTGATTTCAAATGATAAATAGATAGTTTTTTTTTCAATCGACTTGTCAAATTTAGTACTTACTACTCTATGACAAAAAATTTTAGAAAATATTGAAAAACTAGTATCAAGGTATTACAGTTATTATACACGATGACATTTACTGTTTCTATTAGGAACAACCACTCTGAAAGAAATTATTGTCGAATTCGTTTTCTTCCTCCTCCATTCTTCTTCTTTTTTTTGTTGTTAAAAATCATTATACAAAATAGTGCACATAAAACAACTTATTTTTTTTTTCTTCCGAAAATGGAACAATCATTGAAAAATAAAAATTGATGTACAAGTAAGAAGAGGACAAAACAAAGAAAAAATGTCATTTGTTCAAACGCACAAAAATGAAGAATATCTGAATAATAACAGAAAAGAAACCTGCTTGGACAAATATAACAGCAAGACAACGAAACGAAGATCTTTTCTCTTTTTATTCATAGACCTTTATCACGATGTTCTTTTGTCTACCGAAATATTTGACACATACGTATGTGGTATGAGAAGATATACATATTTTTGAGAGAAATAGTTAATAGATCGAATCTATACTCAGTTCCTGCCAGTTTTACTATGTACACTCACAAATTTTACATTCAAAGTGTAAAATTCAAATCTCGTATTCATCATATGTTGCTTTAATGAAAGTTACAAAATTATTTTGTGTACAATTAGTTGGATATATGCGCCGATATCATCAAATGAATACACACAATGAATGACTTTATAATATTGTGTCATTTTTAAGTATTTAACATCTATTGTGCTTAGCGTTGATGGATGACTAGTAATCAGATTGACAACAATATATTTGTTAATACAACATGAATATACGCTTTGAACCATTTAACATTTAATAAAGAGCATAAAATAAATTAACAATAATCAATGATGAATTATGGATAAAATGAATATTCAATGATTGTTCTTTTAATTTAAGCATATATATGTTGATTAAATTAGTACATTTAATGAAAAAACTCACTGCTAATGAGAAACAAATGAATTAATGGTCTTACTAGGTTATACACGTTTGCTGGTAGAGATATCAGCGCTCTAATTAATAAGGTATCAGTATATTATAAAATAACGTTTATTATTTCACTGATTTCGTTACAGTATGAAATATTCCATAGAAAAAAATTATCATAAGCTACACAACATACGAGAAATATATACAAATTTAAAATGAGAGGAGAGAGAGAGAGAGAGAGAAAGAGAGAAATAATTTTTCAACAGGAACTTTTCGCATCGAATATTAAAATTAAACAATTTATAATATAATGTTTAAAAATTAAATTTAATCGATGGGTAAACTCGTGGATGACAACTGATCTAGAAGTAATAGCGTTCATCTCCTGTCGACGTTTGAGAGAATTAGTTCGTCTATCACTGTTGTGAAGAATGAAAATGACTCTCGTTTTCTAAAGCGAATGGACCACTTTATAAAACTATATTTCACGATTACTAGTGAACTATTAGTATAACGTGAAAACCCACTGTTACCACAACGTCTGAATTGATAAGTTAATTCTACTTCCTTTCTTCTGGTTTGTAGTTTTCTTATTCAGTCATTGTTTTCAACATTAAATACTGTTTTGTTCACAAAAATTTTCTATTTGAGGTAGCTTGCCTCAGACGAACTACAATGGACATAATTGACCAAAAGATATTTATTTTCAAAAAATATGCTCACTCATTTTCTTGTTCCAACAAAATTCTCTGCACATCAAATTACCAAAAAAATAGTGTATATTTCTTATTAATAAATAAAAAAAAGTTTTTACCATTTGTCAAATTGTCGTAAAAGAGAAAAAGACTATTTGTTTATAATAAATATATGTTACATAGATGTAACACTCTTAATTCATTGAGTCGTATTGCATTCGCGTTGAATAAACATCTTATCGCCTCTTTTTAAATACTTTTCAATATTTACTCTAGTGAATGTGCAAAACTCGAGTGCCTATTGGGTATCCTGCTACAGTAACGTTAGATACTTGGCTTCTGCAAGTAAAAGTAAAAGTATTTAGGTAAGTCATTCAAGCTTTCCACATAATTTTATTTTTGGCTTAGTTCTACATCATTCGATAGAGCTTTTCAAGCTGATCAAGAATATCTTGGTCTTAGCCTTATATATACAAGTTTCCAGTGAAAAAATTTCAAAGGGTCTCATTTTTCGAAAAACTGAATAACTGTCTTAGTTCATTTTGAAAGCTTGAAACTATGTTTTTCGTAATCAGCGTTGTAAACTGAATATAAAAAACTATATTTCAAGGTCCGAGAGTCAAAAAAAGAATTTTGAGCGCCAAATGACCTCCAGCTCCTCTTACCTCATCTAGTAAACCTATCTAGTTTTCTTGATTAAGAGATATATATTTCACATGCCATTAGAATCGCCATTCAACAGCGAATAAAAGTACGTTCTCCTTTTTTCGAAATTCTTTTTCGTTCTTGAGATATTTTATTTTTATTTTACGCCTTACCTTCCAAGTCTTTTTCCACGTATCTCTGCTAGCCTCAGCCAAGTATTAAAGTGCCTAACAAGTAATTTTTTGTTAGGTACCCATCCAAGTAATGTCATAGGTACTTAGACAAACTTGGCTTGCGGTAGTCAAAGTTCTTAGATGCTCGAATTCAAGTACATACAGTAGAGTAAGGTACCGGAAATTTGAAAATTCAGCAAGTTTTTTATTTTTGCATTTTTTATACATGGTTGAATAGAATTTGCCGATCTCGAGAAGAAAATATGTGTTTTAATGTTTGAAAATTTTTTTTCATGTCGAAAAATTGAACAAATTCGAAGGGTGAAATTTTTCGAAAGTTTCAAAAAATCACATTCTTTTCTCTCTCGTGCTACTAACTTTTTGGAAGTGCCCTTTCATATTCAGCATCAAAAACTGCGTAGGAGAATGATGCTTGATCGAGGTCGAAGTCAAAGATCTATCAAGTATGGAAGTTCATAAACTATGTTGCTAACCTATATAGTTTTTTTGTGAAGAGATGAAGCTGATTTTTGTACTTCATTAAAACCATCATTGACCAAGCATCATTCTCATACTCAGTTTTGCTCTGCTTCAGGTATCCACTGTTAGACTAGAGAATGACTTTCACAAAGTACTTGACATTTGTCAGTTTAACATAGAAAAGAACACACTTTAAAAACGTCATAAAAATTGAGCATAAAAGACACATAACACAGCCAATAATTTTAATAAGATAATCCAATTAGTTTACGTAACTTTCCTAGGATGAGTTCTTCCATTAATAATGGTCTTATTTTATATTCTACCAGAGATGACACTCTTCTCAAATAGTGAATGCTAATAAGATAGTGAAAATTTGGTTTTCCTAAGTTAGGCAGAATTATCACAGACAACCGATGGGATGGAAAGAGGATCGAATTACACAAAAAGTAAATAAACAAAAAAGTTACTATTATAAACAAAAACGCTGTCAAAACTAATGGCATTCTCTAGAAAGAAACAACTATTTTGACGAATTGTCACGATCCATATCTTGTCTGAATATATTTGCACGATAATATTTTAAAAGCTCAATATATGATTTTAATTTTGGCCTTGAATTTACTTGAGCTGAATTATCAACAATTGGTCTTTGTTTATAAACGTTTGGAAACCATTTTGAGCATAACGTAGAAATGATATCAACGTCAATGTTACGATAATGACATACTTTAACAAAGTCTGGACAAATTTGACTCATAACTACTCGATCAACATCAACAAATTCACCGGCTAACGGTGATATACGGTTTACTAGAATATTTTTATGTAAAAAATCAATCAGTAATTGACTATTTGATTTTGAAATATTTTCAATATAGAGTTCATTAATTAAATTTAAATTACCATCGGTGATTATAATTGTTAAATCATTAATGAAATCTTTATTGTTATACAAAAAATTTATTTTTAACCACACAATATGAGTTTTAGGATTTTGCATGATTTCCCATTCATACGGAGGAGATCGAAGAAGTATTTGTTGTTTCGCTGATGATATAAACATATGTTTGTAATAATATTTTAATTCATTAATACTCTCTCGAATATCGTCGGATGCACGATGTTTCATTTGTTTATAGGGAACTTTTCGAAAACGTAATGGTTGCCATCGAAGAATTAATTCTTTTATCGTGCTACCTAAAAGAATAAAAAAAAATATTTGATTAGAAAAAGTTAGTTTAAGTTAACAACTGTAATTTTCTTTAACTGCTTATTTATACAAGACAAAAAGTAGCACGATATGAAATGATAGTAGTTCAAAATTCATCAATAAAGAGAAGGCACTAAAACAACGTATCATCCTACAACAGATTTTAACTGCTCAATATTTGGTAACTTTCTAAAGTATTTCAATACATCCGTAAGCAAGAGAGAAAAAAGTACTGGTAAGTGCAGACAAAAACTATATGAAAATCATATAGTCCGCACTTTTCTGACTACTAGTCTGCTTTTTCAGCCATGCTCTTACGATAAATTAACTAGTATCAATCAAAATAAATTCGAAAGAAACGTACAATCGATTATTTTTTTAGATAAGTATTCTGCTAATCGTGGCATGTGTTTTTGAATAAACCATCGATCAACAAAAACTGAATTTCCACCTAAGATGCCCAAACCAGGTGTTATCTGTTCCAATGATAGAAATTCAATAACAGCAGATTCAGCATCATACAATGAAACATGGCTAGATAGAATTTGAGTTATTAAACCAGACTTTGTATGATGTTCTACACACCATTCATTCATATTATCAATAACATCTTGTGAATGATGAATAACAATATCAGGACCTAAATGAAGAAGAAAAGAGGATTTCCTAATACTCATATGAATAAACTGTAAATGTTTAATAATTACCTTCTTTATAATTTTTACAATGCCAGTCCGATGTTGCCACTGCAATTTCAACGATCGTATGTTTTTCTAAATCTAATCCATTCATTTCTAAGTCGAGCCAAATTAGACGATCATCACTCGATGCCATGATTATATCTAAAAGGAAGTACTACTAAGCTATTAAGGAAATAGGCACAAAGATCACAGTAAATTGATTACTCAAGAGCAGATACTCAGTAAAACAGTGATTCTGAACAGATGATGATTTTCTCTCATGTCAGGTAATATTTTCGAGTTTTCAATTAAACGATTTCAAGACATTGTAAACGCGCCCGAGTCGGAATACTATCTTCTTTCTCTTCAAAAAAAAACATTTAAAATTTCATTGATCATCGGCAAATGAAAATTTTTATATAGTAAACATTTATAGTTTACTGTCGTATTTTCAACTTGTTTACTGAAGTTTTTCTAATTGCAGAAACAAAATGCGTACTCAATTCACAAAGTGTATGCATACTATGCTCCGTTGTACGCTTTACCATCAAAACTCTAGTCCGTAGATCGATCACCTTCCTACCACTACCATCGCTCACCCTTGATCTGTAGAAGAACCCTCTAACATATACCCCTCTGCGAACATATTTAGAGTGATGAAGACGCAAGGATGAGTAGTGAGGACGATGAATAGTATAAAAAAGAGAGACAGGACTTAGACGTTGATAAATTTTGAAAAACTGTAGAAGTCTAAAGTATTTACGACGAAGAGATAGATTTGGAAGAGAAAATTGAGACACAAGTAGAGAACTAGAAGAACGGAAGTCAAAATTGCGAGAAATAACACGAGAAGCAAGTTTGTTTCCAGAATCAAGAACAGTAAGAGTAAACGAACTGTGATACAAGGCACAGCAATAGTCGATTTTAGGAAGGATAGAAGAAAGATAGATTCGACGCCGAACTTCGGTTGGAGCTAATCCAACGACACGGTTTAAAGCTCCAAGCTCGCGCCGACAAGCAAGAGCGATGTCCTTGGCATGGTCATTCCATCTAAGATCGTGCGAAACAAGAACACCAAGACAACGAACAGAAGACACAGCAGAGAGAGGAGCACTATTGAGATACAGTTGATTATAAACATACGGAAAGAGGTTGGAAGAGAAAGGAAGCCAACAACATTTAGAAGCGTTTAAAGACATGAGATTGGAAGAAGACCAGTGAGAAACAGGCCAGGCAGCCTGCCTGGCTGTTACAGACAGGCCAGGCTACAAATTATCGGCATGCACCAGGCTAAGGCAGACCAGGCCTGGACTGAAATAGATTCAGGCAGACCTTTGAAAACACCAGGCGGCCTAGCCTAGGAAATTTGCGTATTTTTATTCAAAATTTAGCATTTCGGCTGTAGATGTCGTTATGATATGGAAGTTTCACATTGTGAAACTATGTACTAGGCTGAAATAGATCACTAAATCCTGACACGGTTGAGGATATCTTATTAGTTAGATGAGTTCAGAAAATACTTGAACAAAAACCAAATTTTTTAACTTAGATATATTGTTTAGTTATCTGTCACTTTTCTTTCCATCTTATATTACTATTATTTGTACATTTTATTTATTACAAAAATTACCAGGCATCTACAGACCAGGCCAGGATAGGCCGAGAGCAATGGCAGGCAGGCAAGGCCCAGGAAATATTTCGACAGGCCCAGGCAGATCTAAACATTACAGACCTGACGCAGGCAGACCAGGCCTCAAAATTGTCGGCCTGTTTCGAGCCCTGGTGAGAAACAGAGTTTATACAATTTTGAACGTGAAAAAAATTGGAAGAATCGGTAGAGGAACGAGGAAAAATTAAAAAAAACATCATCAGCAAAGAGACAGATTTCACAATTAGATGGGAGCGACAGAGGAACGAGATAATTTTTTTAACAAAAGAGAATGAGGAACAGAGTCAAACGCTTTAGAGAAATCGAAAGACACACCAACACATTTCACACCGGCATTCCAAAAGTCAAAGACGGTTGAAGATAAAAACAACAAAGGATCTAGAGTGGAATGTTTAGGGCGAAAATCGAACTGTTTATTAACAAAAAAAGAATGTTTAGAAAGAAGTGAAATAGGACGATAGTTAGAGATATCGGCAAGAGCGCCTTTTTTGTGAACAGGTACAATGAATGCAGTTTTCCATAGAGTTGGAAAATTGCTAGTAGAAAGACACAGATGAAAAATGAAGTGAAGATGAGATGAGAGAATGTCAGCACAAGAAGAGAGAAAGGAAGAAGGAATTCCATCAATACCAAAAGTCTGCAGTGGTAGAGGGAGGAATTTGATCCTGAAGAGAAGAATAACAGGAAGAAAAGTGAGAGTTGAAGAGCTCGGCTTTATCCGCATCTGTGGAAACAGATTTGCAGCCCAGAAACATAGAATGAGGTAGAGTAGACTGAGAAGAAGACAGTTTTTTGATAGAGCTCCAAAACTTGCGAGGATCGGAAAATAGAAAAGAAAGAGATCGAAAATAAGAAGACTTTTCACGGCGATAAAGAGGAAGGTCAAGATTTCTTATCTTGCGAAACTCAGCAAGGTTAGAAGAAGTGTAACGACGTTTGAGTTTACGAAAGCGACAGTTACGGATAGAAATAAGGTGTGCAAGTTTTGGAGGAGAAGGAAGAGAAGATAAAGTACGGATAGGCACCAGTGGAACGAATCTACGAATAGCGTCATTCGTGATCAGTCCAGATATGGACTGCCGTATCAGCACTGGTAGCCGTATAGAGACCATCAGGAATAACAGAGAGAAAACGCCGTAGTTCCGACCACTGGGCTTTTTTAAAGTCGTAACGATAAGAACTAGAAGAAGAAAAAGCTTGAACAGGAACGTCGAAAGTAACAGATAAACAAAAATGAGGAGAACAGCCAATAGGTGGAGAACAAGAGAAAGAAACAGTACGCCAAGAAGACGAATAAAAAACATAATCAATACACGTGTTATATATAGTAGTTATAGGAAAATCAACACGAGAACATAAGAAAGAGTTTGAAAGACTTTGAACTCTGTACATTTCTGAAGATACAACAAAATTCAAATTTAAATCAGCACATAGGACAAGTGAAGAAGAGGTAGACAGATATTTACAAACAAAAGATTCAAGTACATCGAGAAAGAAAACGACAGTAATATTTTGAGGACGATAAGCGTTATATAGAAGAAAATCCACAGAAGAGGAATGTACATGAAGTAAAAACGCTTCAATAACATCAGAAGTTGCAAGAACAGAAAAGTGAAAAGAGGAGGAGATGAACGTAGCCAGATCGCCTCCTCGTCGATTTCGATCACGGCGAACTAATGAATAATCAAGCAGAGATAATTCATTATCGCTGATGCTAGAGTCCAAATTTGTCTCTTGAAACGATAAAATGTCATACTCACTAAAAGATTATGCGATAATAAACGAAGTTTATGAGATAGTGAAGGATCTGTTTTTGTTTTGGCCCGAGTCTCGTCGTGTCACTGGTAACTGCCTGCTGACACCGATGCTCCCCGATTTCGTTGGGAAGATGAATTTTGATCCTGATTTTGTTTAACATTATTATTATTTCTAGATGAACGACACGAGGAACGATCAGGAGCCGATTTCTGTTGAACGAACGAAGCAGGAGAATTTGGATACGATTGAGACGACTGTTGTTGAGGATGTTGTTGATTATTACCCGATTGTTGTTGAATATTATCGGATTGTTGTTCTTGATTATTTCCAGATTGTTGTTGAAGGTATTGTTGATTATTGTCACCGGTCCTCAAAATTATGAGAAAAAAATAGAGCACATAACTGTCACTTGATATCAATTACAATTCTGTTAGAATTGCGTAGTCAAAAATGCTCATAATATGTTACCCGCTATTCAATTAGAAAGAAACACAGACTTTCGTTACAACGTCAGGGAAATTATTATGACAGTTGTGTTTGATTTGACAATCATAGTGCTGCCGCTCTCACATTCTTCTCCGACAGAACGTTCAGCCGTAAAATATTGCATTTATCCAATATTCACTCTCCCGCAAGCTAGGAAGGATAATGATATGCATATACTTATTACTATAGTTTGAAGAAATAGCAAATCAGAATTAATAATAGATGACAGTAAGCACCGAAAGCATTTTGAGTGAATGAAATATAAACTGATCGGTTTCTCTCTGAAATGCTAGAAAATTTTACGAACATAGATAAACATATCAAAGACAACAAAAAATTGTATTAGTAAGAGAACTAGCACACCATTGGTTTATGTTCTCTTTACCTATAATATTCAGTGAAGTGCAGCTGATTATTAGTTATTTAAAAATAGCATATAACATAAATATAAAAAATAAGATTTGAAGAAAACAAATATATGTCACTTGATTTAATTCAATAGACAGAACGTTCTACGCCTGTTTTATCTCACACTATACGAGTTTTTACGTTAATATTAAATAGTTAATTCACAAAAACAAAAAAACAGAAGACTCATCTAGTGAGACAGACAGCACATTTAGAGGCAGAGCGCTTAATCGCCTGAAGTTCCGACACAAGTCACGATAAATTTAAATAAAAATAGAACAGTTCTTGTAAAAATACTTCGAGATCATCTGAGAGATATGGAAAAGAACTTGCAATGTATATACCGAAATACCGAACATGAAGGCAAGCTTATCCCACTATCATAATCCAGAAACTAATCTTTATTTGCTCATTTTAATTGCATTTTGAGGTTTCATTATTTACAATAACATTTGTTCTGCTTTTTATTTTACGCATGCATGTGCTTGAAATCGATAAACAGAATAAAGAAAAACAATTTCAGTTCGGATTGGTTGCAAAAATTAGTTCGTAAGAGATGTAATGGAATAAATTAGAAACGGTTCTTGTTTCTGATCAAATCTTGTAAGCTATTTTTTAGTTTCTGTATTAAATTGTTACGTATGTTTAATCTTCTGCTTTTTTAAAATAAGATATTTGCATTAAGAGTTGAACGATCTTCGTTGATTTTGTATTTTTAGATTAAAACATATGCTACATATATCTTGTACATTTAATCAGAAAATTATCATTCTTCAACGAGTTTTATATTTAATACTTCATAGTTTATAGCTCGGTCAAACTCAACAACAATGATGAACGGTGAAGATCCATTAAATCGAATAAACTTACAAGCATTACAAAATCGTGATCCTTACATAATAAGAATTCTGGATCAAGCACAGCGTGTTTGTGTTTTTAAATTTTTGCCTGATAAACAACAATGGGTACTTACAGCCTAGCCAGTCGTGAAGAAATTCTTGTTACTATTTATTTTTTTTCTCTTTAGGAAAGAAAAGATATTGAAGGAACATTATTTGTTTATGAAAGGTATTGATTTACTGCAAAATAGTTCATAAGTAATAAAAAAAAAATCTCATTTTTAGAAATTGTGAACCGTACAATGGCTTTGCCATACACAGTACAGTGTCAATGGATACATTTATACAAATATTGAAACCAGCTATGGAATTCGAACAACGTGGCGAATGTTTTTTGCAATACAAAGCCGATGTTGCTGGTAAGATCTGTACATCACTTTGTTTCTTTTGTGCATAAAACAGTGAGATTTTCCTCTGTAGATATTTACGGTTTATGGTTTATCTCAAGCAAGGATTGCCCAGGAATCACAGAATGTTTAAAGAGGTATCGTAAACATATACCTATATCTTACTCTCCATGAACTGTTGGCAAACCTTTCCAGATTAACAGCTTATGCTAAGGAACGAGCTTCTAAAAAATTACAACAACCACAACAAACATCGAAACAATTGCCATCATTAGTCAATAATCATTTAATCGATCAGCAGTCACTACGCCAGTTATTACCGTCCAATGATCAACAAAAAGCAATTGATGATATTCCTTCGTCCGCTTCTTCGTCTTCGTCTTCATCTACAAATGGAAACGATCGAAATGTCGATATTTTTAAAATGTTGGTTGGAGCTCAAGAAAAATTTCATGACTATGTAAGTAAAAAGTCAGCGATAAACTTCAGATTACATCCCTACAGTATTCTAGTATTGAGATGGAAACTGTGTATTGTTTGTAGTTTTAGTGCATTCTGATAAAACAGTTGCTTGTCTAACTCTGGAGATGTACATATTTTTGAAATTCTGAAACTTTTGTATGTTTCAGAAACGGCAACAATCAGTTACCACTCCAGATACGCCAAATAAAGTTGTACTATTAACAACAACGACACGTACGTCTACCACGAACAGTGGTGGTAACAGTTATAACCCAAAACCAGTACTTCAAAAACTTTTATCTACTCCCTCGGTGGTCACAACAATAACGGAGAATACTAAAACTCAACAGACAAATCCATTTGCTTCATTTCACCGTGCAGATACAATACCTACAACAACAGCCATCACTACATCTCCGACTCCAGTATCCTCAGTCAATCAACCACCAACACCGAATTCAGCAATCCCACTCTGCCTGGCACGTTTGTTTTCTAAAGATGCAACAGTTACAACACCAAATAATGATGAACTTGAAAATGAGTTAAAAAAAACATTGGGAATACCAACAAAACCCCCTATGAGTGTTCAAGATCTAGAGCGTCAGTTGTTAAATAATACAACAGCAACAACGATGACGACTTCAACTTCTAATACAGTTGTTTCCTCTTACACTCAAAATGAAAAATTTTCACCTGCATCAAATTCATTAGTTTCATCTGATACAGTACACACTATTAGCGGTGCATCAGATATAAAAGATATTAAACCTTCGACTATTTCATCTGAAGTATGTAAAATATACAAATCACTTTTCATCTCAAGATACTGAATATACTGTTTGGATTTTAAAGGGTTCAATATCAACGCCACCACTCTCTCTTTCACCAAGATTCTTAATGAGTCCACATCATACAAACAGCGAATTATTTGAAAATAAAACACTAACCACAGCCAATACTGAATGGACACCATCACACTCCAGGGTTCGACATGCTTTACAGTTGTTATTTCAGATCAATCAATACATTACTTCTTGTTGTAGGATCCACCATCTTTTGAGTCAAATGGTGGTAATCGATTAATGACGCCAGCTGATTTTGTCGATACTAATAAACTTTTATTTTCCGCCATGACACTTAAGAATAGTAAATAAACAAATAGCATTTACATGTTAGTCTTTATTGGATAATTTATTTTTATTTCTCTTTATAGCGGTACAACAATGTTGTCGATGTCAAACACAGAATATACCTCAAATATCAAAAGATCATTTAAAACAACTACTTGTTAAAATGTTACAGGTATTTGCATAATGTATTGTACTTCAACAGATAAAATAGTCTAAAATGTACAGATTAGATAAGACAGTTTGTGAAACGGATACTTACGAAGTGCAGTTTAAAGATTTTTGTCTTTTAATTCATTGTACTATAATGATTTTTTTGTTGTTTATTTAGACGGATGAAGATTTTTTGGCATGTCTGTATAACGCCTATATTGAACAGCGAAAGTCATCATCAAGCAGAGTTCACTAGTGTAGTGTACTCCCCGTTTCTACCAATCTGTTATCTAGTTTAATAAGAACACTTGCATATACTATTAAAATTAACGAAAATATATTGCATCTTTTTTTTTCTTCACCTTTCTATCTACTTCTAGTCTCCCACTATGAAAATTTCATATTTATTTTTTCTTGTTTTGTTGTTATTATTGTTATTATTGTCGTATTGTTCGAATTTCCTTGTTTTATTTGTGAAGATTTTTATTTACATGCAGATGAACTCTCTTTTTCTCATTGCCCATCTGAGCAAATAAACAAACACTCTTTCAGTACTGACTTTTTGATTTTTTTTTGTTTCATTTTTAAAAAGGTGAGAATAGTTCGTGTGTGTGCACTTTTTTCTTATCTGATAATATTGGCTGCTCTGTGCTCTACATTTTCATACTCTATATCTCTGTGTATACATCTTTTCTCTGTTTTGATCATTTGAGCATGATAACAAGTTTGTGTATGTCTCTTATTTAATTCTTTTCTTTATTAAAAAGATGTGATTTATATTGTTGTTAATTTTTGTCTAGGAAAAAGAAACTTCTAATGTTATTAGTTTCTGTTATATGGAAACGAAAAAAATGATATTTAGAACATTTGTTTTAGTCAAAAACAATAAACAACTGAATTAGAGCAGAATATCAACCATCTCAATGATACGTATTCAAATTATGTAATTATGTGAAAGCTATTATTTGTGGAAAATTATACAATATTCAAGAGAAAATGAACAAAACAATTGCATTATTCAAAGTGTTTTGCTCATACTACTTCAGAATGAATTCCTCATCACGTTTTGACTGTTGTGCGTGGAACATTATAAATTCCGGTATGAAATGTTCCTTGACGAGCTAGAGAGTCATACATTGTGGCACTATGGGCTTTTCTTCTTTCATTTTCATCACGAAACGAGTCGATTTGAGCTTCGCCCTGAATAAAATAAATGACAGTTTTGAATTAGCTGTTCCAAGAGAAATCTGATAATTCAATGTTACATTGGCAAATTTGGACAACTGCCAAAGTTGTTTGGGTTCTACTGGTATCTTGGCTTGTCGTAATAAACTTGCTTTTGTGTGATAACTACCTTTGAATGCATTCTACAAATAGATAATAATATGTCATGACAAGGGATGAAAATAATTGTATTCATACAGCAACATCTGCTCGTTGTTTTTGGGAATTTAATTCTTTTTCACGCATACTTTGAGTCCATTTCTCTGAAAACTTATATTCTAACACTTCACTGATTGGAGTCGATGGTCTAGAAAATTTTATAATAATAAATCTATTGATAAAAAAGAGAAAAAGTGATACCTGCATGGCGTGCCAAAAACCACATCATCTGGAAATCGCATTGGATTCTTTTTATATGATATATCTCGTACAAAAACTTTTTTTTGATATCATGTACAGTTCTAGATAACCATAAAGTTTATTGCTATAGCTATTAAACATACCATTACAACGTACCGAAATCTTGATTGATCTTTTGCTGATATCATGCCTGCCTCGAGAGCGGCTTTGTTTAAAGCTGAATAATCTCTTACATATTCAAAATCAGGATTGATGGCGGATCCAGTTTTCTCTAATGATGATCCATGATACATGGCTAAAAAAAGCAAAAATGTAAAATTAACATCGAGAAAGATTTAATGACCATACCTTCCGCAACTCCTCCATCTCGTCGTGGTATCGTGATTCCGTACGTAAAGTTTTGTGCGGGTAATTTGTGTCCTCGTTTTGACGATTTTCCTAATTCGGGCTAAACAAGAAAAGGATAATTAATCAATACTACGTACAATTGTTCATTATCAATATATCTCAGAATCAAGTCACTTACGACTATCTGAAGTGGACTGGAAAGCATTGTGTCACGTTGCTCACCGATCATACCAGTTTTTGTGAACTCATAAGGAGATGCAGATGACGATTTTTCGTCAAAACTATTACTGCGTTCCACGTTCATATTTGATGAGTAAACTTAATTTCACTCAGTTTAGAAGAGGGATTGAATGTCAGACTATCCTGAAATACAACATCCGTAATATTTTTCTAAACCCGAACCAGACACAGAAGTTTATGTAAAATAGGCATACAGCTTTAAGAACAACGTGATTCCACACTGATACTAGCATTCTGTGCTGAACTTTTGCGTCTAGAATACGCAACTTAACCGCAGACAGGTTTGTACAGTCTTGCACGTCTTCCGTCATTTATAAATGCAGATAAAAAATTGCCAAGCAACATTTACTGTATAGGCTACTACGCACTATTTTTGTATGAATTTGAAACATAAAGTACACCACTTTTGATATCTCAAGTTTTTTAAATCAATCTTATGTGAAATGTGAGAGATGTCACTAGATATAGAATCACCAACAGGATACGTAAAAATGAACTTTATACAACTTCTCCAAATTTACACATGTAAGATCTCACTCTCATGCACGTTGCTGGATTCGTCGAGTTACGTACACTCTATATTTATTTATATCGTAAACTGTGTAGAACTAGCAAAATTTGACTACTTTTTTCTCTCTAGAAAATTCGAATTATATTCTAACCAAGTGTTGTAAAAAAGAAACCATTTACTTTTTAGCCTTCATCTAATGCTGTATTTCAAGTAAACCATTAGACAGAGAATAAAAAGTTACATTTCGGATATGAGCTTATAGCTCTAAATTAATGAGTATAATGAAGATCAAATGTTTCACAAAACAGCACTCTTTCTACAGGGTCATAAATCACAAAACAAACATAACGTCTTTTCTAAAGAATCCAATGAGATTTTGCAGAGTGGCAACCTACCAACGTACACTAATCATAATTTTTTGTAAATGGACATGACCTGAAGTTCTCGATAAACTGATGAAGTACAGGTTTCTATATTTTTCGGCTTTAAAAATTATGCAAAAGCACAAAGGCTCACTATATTTTGGAAGTGTATAGTAGTTGGTAGATTATAGAGCACAATTTTGTCAAGCTTGATGATAAACAACATTAAATATAGACATGTACAACTACTATCCATTTCAAAAAATAGTACCCATGGATGTTCTTCGAATTACTACAGAACTAAAAGTGGCAGGAACATGTGATTTTCACCATATAGTAGAGAAATGTTCGCTCAGTCTCATATCTTTATATAAATATGATCTTTGTCTATTCTCAAAATATCAAGTTAAAACTTTTATAAAAGAATAAAAATTATCTTATTATCTTATTATACATGTTTATCATGTAGTTTTTTATCCCGCATGTGTGAATTTTGAAGTTTCATAAAAGGTATACAATTCTATTTCTTAAAAAAATTCAACAGTTATTAGCAAAGACAAAGCATGGATAGAAGTGTTCTATCTACTATTAGAATAGTTCTACTTGTCTGCGTACTTTGTCTGCGTAATGAACTGTTATTTAAATTAATAACACTTGTCTAAACGTTTCGATTGCATGTGCAATCTTCTTCAGTAGAGCCGAACATAAAATTTAAAAAGCTGCAATTCATTGATAAAAAGATACATAGAACAAATTCACAACTTGTATTGTAATGCGCGTACAGTAGATGTTAAAACTGTATTATGACAAATTCTTTTTCTCTCATACTCTTTAATCTTTTCTTCTTCTTCTTTCCACTAGAATAAAATAACTTAAAAACGATGAGAGAGACAAGGAACTGAGATATTTCTACTTCAGTCAAGCCTAGATTTAGAAATTAAACCGTACGAACGTAAATATATTTCGTCGAAGATGAAACTTACAAAATACAACTGAAGTCAGTAGATATATAGAATATACAATATAACATGTGCGTGTGAAAAATCTCTCAATCAACGAAAAGCTTTAAAAAAGAAAATATTATTGTTATATCAGTAGACAAAGAAAAACAAGTAGTTGTGATAGATGTAGTCGATTATATTAAGGAAATCTGGAGAAGTTATGTACAGATTCCTATACGCAGTTAGATGATGATCCGTCGAAATCCATTCATAAGAAGTTAGAAATATTACTTTCAGAGTTAGTAGGAAAAGGGGAAATTAAGAATACAAAAGATTTAATCGAAAATTATATAAATTAAAAATAAATAAATCACACAGTTTGGCTAGTTTAGATGTAAACGATTTATTCACATCAGTAGATCGTAACAAAGTTCTGCATACATTAAGCCGATTTTTAAAAGTTGATGAAAAATTGATGTTGAAAATCTAAAACAAGTTTGAGTAAAGAGAGTTTACTTAGATTAGTCGAGTTTAGTAAAGAGAACACAATTTTTCAGTTAGTTAGTAAGTTTTATAAACAAGCGGATGGACTTCCAACGGGTTCATCGCTATCACCATTTTTTGCCGATGTTGCACTTAGTAGGGGTGTAGCCGTAGCGGTTTTCGTTCTCAACTGTCAACGGTAATTCATCAGTTGACATTCTGAACTGTCAACGGTATTTTGATCAGTGGAAATCCACCAAACTAATATTCTTAAATTAATGATATCTTC